TAATAATGTTAACCGCTTCCTGTCTGCCCTATAGCAGATATAGAGGTTTTGCATTTCCGGGTAGGGGGCCCGCGCGAGCCCTACCCGCACCGCCTTTCGAGTCCATGGCTGTCAATCACGGGTCCCGCCCGGTGATTTCTCATCGGTGCCCAGTGATTTCCAATGATCTGCGACGGGGAGGAGAACTGTTTTGTTTACTAACAGTTCTCCTCCCTGTCAGCTAGAGCACACTGCATAGCACAGCCATCCAAAGCAGTGTGCTTACAGTGAAGCACACTGACACAGCCCCCTATGTAAAAACACTCCCAGCACACAGTTAACCCTTTGATCACCGCTCATGTTGACCCCTTCTTGCCCAGTGCCATTAGCACAGTGTCAGTGCTTTTTTTTTTTATCACTGATCACTATACTGGTGTCAGAATGCTCTCCGCAGTCCCGAAGTCCAGCTATAAGTTGCTAATCGTCGCCATTACTAGTAAAAATTAAAAAAAAAAAATTCCAGTATCTATACCACCATTTGTAAACGCTATAACTTTCACGTAACCAGTTAATATACATGTATTGGGATTTTTTTTTTAGCAAAGACATGTAGAGAATACATTTTGGCCTAAATTTATGATGAAATTAGATTGTTTTATTTTTTTTACTGGACATGTTTAATAGCAAAAAGTCTAAAATATTATTTTTTTCTCAAAATTGTCAGTCTGGTTTTTTTTTTATAGTGCAAAAAATAAAAACCGCACAGGTAATCAAATACCACCGAAAGATAGCTCAATTTGTGGGAAAAAAGGACATAAATTTAATTTAGGTGTAGTGTTACATGACCACGCACAAGAACAACACACTTTTCCTTCCCCATTATGCCCAGGCTTGATACGTCACACCCTTTTCCTTGCTTTTCTGTTCTTACCACCCCTTTTCCCAGTACTCCTTATCTGACATATTTCCCCATCCCACTTTTCCAACACTTCTCCAGTGTTCTTCATCTATTTCTCTCTTTTCTGATCCCCTGCTGCTCATATTTATCATCTTTGCCGTAACCCAAATGTTAATATGCTCTCAATACATTGTGGAATACACAAAACCTCTACATACTACCTATGTATCAAAAATAATTTATAATGTTTTACCTAATGTTTCATATTCTAGTGTGCTATTTACATTGAATATTTATATGTAACTTTGCAGTCCGTTTCTTGTGTAACACCTTGCTATTATGTAGTAGGATGCTAAAAGAGACACAAGGTGACAGTGTCCTGTAACTCAGTGGCGCGCACTCTGGTGAAAAGCTTTATAGATTTTGTAGACTGAACAGCAGAACTTTGTTAGAAGGTAGCGAACTAGGGGACTACGTTTCCCAGAGGAACTGGCATGTGGTCGAAGCCATGTAAAGGCAGATGCCCGAGAACAAAGGCAAAAAGTGAACTGGGTGAGAGCTGGAAGTAAGGTGTGAAGAGAAAGCTGTGAAGAATGCCGGAGGACTGGACCAGGCCGCAGAGTGGGAGAGCGCAGAACAAGGGAGCCATCTGCTGACATCGCCAAAGAATCTGGAGAACTATCCTGGGGGTCGAAGACCCGGAGGGCTGCTGTCACAAATGAACTCTGCAAGAAGAACTGCAGGACCGCTGGGGGCCCCATCTACAGAGAGATCACCAGTGACTGGGATGATGCAAACAGGTGTGAGTGTGTCCCAATTTACAGCCAATTAAGTTGTCACTAACATTCTATTGATTCAACCACTCTCTATACCAGCAATGGGCAAACTACGGCCCGCCTGACCTTTTAAATCCGGTCCGCGGAGCGTGATACTGTCAGGATGGCTCTCAGGATGTGTGTAGGCAGGGCAGCGTGACGAACGCGAGGGGAGCTAGGCTCCTCTCACAGTCTGCCCTGAAGACCGGTGTAGCATGAAAATCTGTCTCTTATGAGGATCTGTCCCCCTCGACGTATCTGCGCATGTGCCGGAGATCGCAGATCGGCTGCTAATGCCTGAAACTGGCACATGCGCAGATACGTCGAGGGGGACAGATCCTCATAGGAGACAGATTTTCATGCTACACCGGAACGGCGCGGGAATACAGCGAGAGGAATGCGCGGAGCAAAGGTAAGTGAATTGACACAGGGGGGACTTAATATGGGGGATGAATTAATATGGGGAATGAATTACTATAGGGGGGATGAATTACTATGGGGGATGAATTACTATATGGGGGATGAATTACTATGGGGGGATGAATTACTATATGGGGGATGAATTACTATATGGGGGATGAATTATTATATAGGGGATGAATTACTATGGGGGATGAATTACTATATGGGGGATGAATTACTATGGGGGATGAATTACTATGGGGGATGAATTACTATATGGGGGATGAATTACTATGGGGGATGAATTACTATATGGGGGGATGAATTACTATGGGGGATGAATTACTATGGGGGATGAATTACTATATGGGGGATGAATTACTATATATGGGGGATGAATTACTATGGGGGATGAATTACTATGCTTACTATGGGGGAATATTACTATACTTACTATGGATGACACATACACATCATTCATCTACTCTTGGTCCGGCCCCCGGGTCCAATATATGAACCCTGTCAGGGCTCCCGAGTGTGACCAGAGGTGTGTGACTGACGCAGGGAAACGCAGACTTCAGATATGTGATAAACAATATAATTTATTAACACTAACAATACAAACATAAACGCAGTGCAATACTAAAACATAATACAGTGCAAACAAACCAAACCAACCACCCACAGATAACAGTACATACAAGCAAGCGTCGTCAGGCAGGCCGGGTCAATATCAATAGGGCAGGTAGGTACAGGGGGAGCAAGCGGAGATTGGTCGGGGTCACAGGCCAGGTTCAGCAGGTAGCAAGCAGCGTAGTACAGAGGGTCAGGCAGAGGGATGGTCAGGGTCACAAGCCAGGGATCAGAACAGGTAGCAAGCAGCGTGGTACAGAGGGTCAGGCAGAGGGATGGTCAGGAGCGAGCCGGGATCAGAGCAGGAGAAGTCAGCAGCGGTTCAGATCAGGCAGGGTCAGCAAAGGAACAGAAACAGGATGCAGGACAGATACAGGGCCCAGGACAAACACAACACCAAGGCAGAGTCTGCAGGTCTGGCCATCCCTTAAATACACACCAGTATAATCAGTTCCAGGTGTTAGCTGGCTGAAAGGTTGAGTCTCTGATTGCTGGGAGCACCCGCTGGCCAGCCCTGGTACTGCAGATCAAAAGGCAGGTGAGTCCCACCATTGCTGGCCAGTCCATTCCTGACAGTACCCCCCCCCTCAAGGAGCGGCCTCAGGACGCTCCAAACAGTCCTAGCTGGGCAAAATGTTCCACCGCCCGGGTCTGGTAACTGGCGGGATATCAAAGACTGGCACACCGGGCAGGACTCCGGGCAGCGGCACACCGGGCAGAGGCACATCGGGCAGAGGCACACCGGGCAGAGGCACATCGGGCAGAGGCACATCGGGCTGGACTCCGGGCAGAGGCACATCGGGCAGAGGCACACCGGGCAGAGGCACATCGGGCTGGACTCCGGGCAGAGGCACATCGGGCAGGGCTCCGGGCAGAGGCACATCGGGCAGAGGCACATCGGGCTGGACTCCGGGCAGAGGCACATCGGGCTGGACTCCGGGCAGAGGCACATCGGGCTGGACTCCGGGCAGAGGCACATCGGGCTGGACTCCGGGCAGAGGCACATCGGGCTGGACTCCGGGCAGAGGCACATCGGGCTGGACTCCGGGCAGAGGCACATCGGGCAGAGGGCACATCGGGCAGAGGCACATCGGGCAGGACTCCGGGCAGAGGCACATCGGGCAGGACTCCGGGCAGAGGCACATCGAATTACCAGGCGGAGCAGCAGCACCGAGCCCACCAGGCAGGGCGGCGGGCACCGGGCCCCCAGGCGGGGCGACAGGCATCGGGCCCCCAGGCGGAGCGGCGGGCGCCGGTCCCCCAGGAGGGGCAACAGGCACCGGGCCCCCAGGCGGGGCGACAGGCACCGGGCCCCCAGGCGGGGCGACGGGCACCGGGCCCCCAGGCGGGCGACAGGCATCGGGCCCCCAGGTGGGGCGACAGGCATCGGGCCCCCAGGCGGGCGACAGGCATCGGGCCCCCAGGCGGAGTGGCGGGCGCCGGGCGACCAGGCGGGGGGCGACAGGCATTGGGCCCCCAGGCGGGGCGACAGGCATCAGGCCCCCAGGCGGGGTGACAGGCATCGGGGCCCCCAGGCGGAGCGGCGGGCGCCGGACCCCAAGGTGGAGCGACAGGTCTCGGGCCCTCAGGCGGAGCAGCGGGTGCCGGACCCCCAGGCGGAGCGACAGGTCTCGGGGCCCTTAGGCGGAGCGGCGGGCGCCGGACCCCCAGGCGGAGCGACAGGTCTCGGGCCCTCAGGCGGAGCGGCGGGCGCCTGACCCCCAGGTGGAGCGACAGGTCTCGGGCCCTCAGGCGGAGCGGCGGGCGCCAGACCCCCAGGTGGAGCGACAGGTCTCGGGCACTCAGGCGGAGCGGCGGGCGCCGGACCCCCAGGTGGAGCGACAGGTCTCGGGCCCCCAGGCGGAGCGGCGGGCGCCGGACCCCCAGGCGGAGCGACAGGTCTCGGGCCCTCAGGCGGAGCGGCGCGCGCCGGACCCCCAGGTGGAGCGACAGGTCTCAGGCCCTCAGGCGGAGCGACAGGTCTCGGGCCCCCAGGCGAAGCGGCGGGCACCGAGTCACCAGGCACGACAGTGGGCTCCGAGTCAACTGGTATGACCGCGGGCACTGGGTCAGACATTGGATCGTCTGACTGGACAGCGGGCATCGGGTCACCAGGCATCAAATCATTTGGCTCGACAGCGAGCACCGCGTCATCTGGCAAGGCAGTGGGCTCCGAGTCAACTGGCATGACCGCGGGCACTGGGGCAGGCATTGAATCGTCTGGCTGGACAGCGGGCATTGGGTCACCAGGCATCAGGTAATTTGGCTCGACAGCGGGCACCGTGTCATCTGGCAAGGCAGTGGGCTCCGAGTCAACAGGCACGACAGCGGGCACCGGGTCATCAGGTACCGGATTGTCTGGCTCGACAGCGGGCATCGGGTCACCAGGTATGACAGCGGGCACTGGGTCACCAGGCATCAGGTCATTTGGCTTGCCAGCGGGCACCGCGTCATCTGGCAAGGCAGTGGGCACCAAGTCCCCAGGTACGACAGCGGGCTCTGAGTCAATGGGCACGACAGCGGGGCACCGGGTCACCAGGCATTGGATCATCTGCTTGACAGCGGGCATCGGGTCACCAGGTATGACAGCGGGCCCTGGGTCACCAGGCATCAGGTCATCTGGCAAGGCAGTGGGCACCGAGTCACCAGGTATGACAGCGGGCTCTGAGTCAATTGGCACGACAGCGGGCACCGGATCAGGTACCGGATCATCTGGATCAACAGCGGGCATCGAGTCAACTGGCCTAATAGGATCGTCAGGCTGGATCAGTTCATCATGCTGGGTAGAGGCATCAGGCTGAATGCCGGCGTCCGGCTGAGTAGAGGCTTCAGGCCAAGTAGAGGCTTCAGGCCGAGTAGAGGCATCAGGCCGAGTAGAGGCATCAGGCGAGTAGAGAGGGCTTCAGGCCGAGTAGAGGCTTCAGGCCGAGTAGAGGCTTCAGGCTGAAGAGAGGCATCAGGCTGAAGAGAGGCATCAGGCCGAGTAGAGGATTCAGGCTGAACCACGGAAGGCAGGTTCACCGGTTTGGATACTGGCAGGATGGTATTGGTTGGAAAGAATTTTCGCTTTTTTCTGGTTTTAACTACTGGAGCACTGCAAGTAAACGCAGGTCTGCAAACAAATGGAGCAGCTGGAGACAGAGAAGAACTGGAGGATGGAACAGGAGAGGGAGCAGTTGCTACAGAGGGCTTTTTTACAGGGTTAAAGGCAGGATAGGTGCAGCGAGTGGGAACAGGGTACTGACATGCGGTAGATAGCAGGGCAGGAGGAGCTGTTGGGAATGCAGGAATAGAGTTTTGAGGAAATAGATTAGAAGCAGGACTGGGTTTTTGTAAGCTGACTGAGGCTGGGTGCAACAAGTCTGTCCATGTCTGCAGTAGGGGTTGAACAAAGCTGAGCTTACACAAAGCCTGTCTGGTCAATGACTGCACTGCGTTTATACAATCTCTTAGTGTCTGTGGTGAACATGTGGAATAACGCTCCAGAAAGTAACCCACATCATTCTCTAATAACCACACCAGGGACTCTACCTGGTCTGCACTAAATGGTGGCAAAAATTCATCCCTGCATTCGGGGGTACCAGATGAAACCAACTCAGCACAAACCTCAATCAATGGCTGCACCTCAGAGAACTCTGTGCCCTGATCTACTAGAACATGAGCGAGCCGTATACATTCTAGTAGTTCATCCCCGGTATACTCCTTCAGAGTTTGATAAGCATACTCCCTGTCATCCAACACTAGCAGATATAAATACGCAACCTCATCCAGATCCATCCTTCCCATCAACAAGCCAAGATGGCTTCCCTGTGCAGCCACTTCTGGTCAGGATTGGCCTTGGTGTAATGTCAGGGCTCCCGAGTGTGACCAGAGGTGTGTGACTGATGCAGGGAAACGCAGACTTCAGATATGTGATAAACAATATAATTTATTAACACTAACAATACAAACATAAACGCAGTGCAATACTAAAACATAATACAGTGCAAACAAACCAAACCAACCACCCACAGATAACAGTACATACAAGCAAGCGTCGTCAGGCAGGCTGGGTCAATATCAATAGGGCAGGTAGGTACAGGGGGAGCAAGCGGAGATTGGTCGGGGTCACAGGCCAGGTTCAGCAGGTAGCAAGCAGCGTAGTACAGAGGGTCAGGCAGAGGGATGGTCAGGGTCACAAGCCAGGGATCAGAACAGGTAGCAAGCAGCGTGGTACAGAGGGTCAGGCAGAGGGATGGTCAGGAGCGAGCCGGGATCAGAGCAGGAGAAGTCAGCAGCGGTTCAGATCAGGCAGGGTCAGCAAAGGAACAGAAACAGGATGCAGGACAGATACAGGGCCCAGGACAAACACAACACCAAGGCAGAGTCTGCAGGTCTGGCCATCCCTTAAATACACCAGTATAATCAGTTCCAGGTGTTAGCTGGCTGAAAGGTTGAGTCTCTGATTGCTGGGAGCACCCGCTGGCCAGCCCTGGTACTGCAGATCAAAAGGCAGGTGAGTCCCACCATTGCTGGCCAGTCCATTCCTGACAAACCCATTGCGGCCCTCAAGTCAAAAAGTTTGCCCCACCCCTGCTCTATACAGTTACTGACATTGTTGACAAGTTACACAAGCTGAGTCCTAGTTCACCTGGCATATTAGCAAACACAACTTCAGCTTAATCCAGTCATTAGAGCCAACTGCAGTCTCTGCCTCTTTGGGCCAGGCTACACTTTCCTCTACAATTGGTCTACATCCATCAAGGGACACTTGTCATTATTGCCATCGGCTACTGTGGCTTAGAGAGGAATTAACCCTTTGCCAATAAGTGCATCTACCGACCCTTTAAGTCTCTTGCTTAAAACTTGCATCTCATTTTATGCTTTAAAGCAGTACTGCCCAAGGTAAATACCACTTAAAGAAATAGTGTCTGTGCTTGCCTAAATCCTTTTTGAGGGACTTCCACCTATTGCAACCAAGGAGATCTGGAGTGTTGTAGTGCCCCAACTGGGTCCCAACAAGCATGTAGATCTTTTACTGCAGTTAAAACTTAATTAAAGAGTTAAAAGTTAATTAAAGAGCTCTTTCTTCATCTCAGATTTGAACCTTGTCACCAGCTTCTGAGAGCCCAAAGTAAGCCAGCCTTATTCTTTAGTAGTTTTTCCTTTGCTCACTGGGGACAAAAACATCTCAGAGTTGAGGCCTTTGGTTAAATTCTCACTTGCAGGATGTCCAAAACTGCTTGAGATTTTAACTGTATGTGTTGACCTGTTATTATTTACCATAATTTTGTGCTGCTGTAATTATATTCAACTTTAATATACAGAAAGTATCAGCTCACTCTAACTTGTGTGTGAGTCCATTTTCTGGTAATATTGAGAGAGTTTACTCTGACCAAAAGTGTACGGTGGTGTCAGCAGGGATTGGGCTTTCAGAGTGTGGTCAAGAGTGACAGGGAGCCCGAAAACAACTCAGTGACCCTTAAGGGGGTAGTGCTACACTTGTTATATTGATTGTAACATTATCACTCATTCTATCATAAAAATTAGAAAAAATATTATTGAAAATACCAACATAACATTTAGTTGCCTCTGCATATCGGTGATATTTAGTACTTTGGGCATTGTGTTTGTAAGAGGATGCTTTTTTTAACAATATACTATGCGATTATACACTAATATTAAACAGGTTTATGACTACCAATACAACTCTGATTGGCTTTTACCTTCCACCGCTGCCCTGACAGTCATACAGTGTATGTTCAGCCAAAAACATTTTTTTTTCTTTTTTTAGTTATGTATAGAGTTAGAAAGCATTAGAAATATTTTTGCTACAAAGATTTCTCCTCACTTACAGTCACAGGAACAACAGTCAAACCATAGAGGAAGTGATGACAAATCTGCAACAGGGGTTAATTTACTAAAGGCAAATAGACTATGTGGTTTGCAAGTGCAGTTGTTCCAGAGTTTTGGAAATTAGGTGAAACGTCACTTTGCAAAAAATACCCAATCACATGCAAGTAAAAATAAAAAAACAGTATCTTTGCTTGCACATGATTGGATGATGGAAGTCAGCAGAGCTTTAACTCATGTACTGAGCTCTGGAGCAACTGCATGTGCAGAATGTGCTTGCAAAGTGCATAGTCTATATGCCTTTAATAAATCAATCTCACAGACAGCAATAAAAAATTGACTGGGATTCTAGCCTTTTCTTCCTTTACTAGAAGCAAAAATTAATTTTCTGTTTGCTATGGCTAGCAGTAAAAACATAAAATCCTTCCTCGCTTTTCAGATTCCACCTCTCACCTTATTTGCCTCTTTTAAAGTAGTTTACATATTAATTTTTCTGTGTTGTTTCTCATGATTCTTTCTCCCCTTGTCCTTCTTTCTTGTAGTGGGATCTGGTCTGTAGTCGTCACAGGATGAGACAACTGGCTCAGTCCATTTACATGTCGGGAGTTCTGGTTGGGTCCATTGTGTTTGGAGGTCTTGCAGATAAGTAAGATTTGGCCTGGTCATAATATGTTCCAGAGGGATTGATTGACTAAAACTGGAGAGTGCCAAATCTGGTGCAGCTCTGCATGGTAGCCTATCAGCTTTTAACTTTAGCTTGTTCAGTTAAGCTTTGACCAAAAAAAAGCCTGAAAGCTGATTGGTTTCTATGCTGAGCTGCACCAGATTTTTACACTCTCCAGTTTTAGTAAATCAACCCCCGTGTGTCTATCAAGGGCATAACTACATATCATGGAGAGCCCCAGCAACCTCAGTACTGTCATTGATCTTCACATAAAGTTATTTACATGTGAATGCTGACATGGGCTGCATACTTGAGTCATCTGTACATGGCAATAGGACAGAGCTTGTAAGCACAGGTGACAGCACTTCACACTGAGATATCAGACACAGCCTGGGACAAAGATTTTCCAGGTACAAGGGAATGTAAACCAGTACATTTTCAACAATGACTGGGCCCAGGGCAGCTGCTGCTCTTTTTGCCCCTTTTGCCCCACCTTAAAGATGGCCCTGGTCAGAACACTATTAGGGACAAGAGCTTTGGACAGATATTGCCAAGAGACTTTTAAAAATAATTTTACAGCTAACCACTATGTGCTCCTTAGCTACCTTGTATTTATTAGCATCTCAGATCTCAGGGCCTCAATGTAAATTCTAAGCCCCCCCACCCCCTTCCACTGCTACAGCAAGCAAGTCCAGAAAGAGGTGGTGTAAAAAAGAGTTTTAGTAGCAAAAATAATGTGTTATATAATGAAATAATTACTGCATAATTACTCTATAACTTTAAGACAAACTTCTTTCATCTTTGGGTTTTTTAGTTTTTGTAGCATTACAAACAGCTGTCAGAGATACCCTGGTATTTCTTTACACCCTGTGCAATTGTGTTAGGCATACAGGGTTAAAGTGGAACTTAACTGTATCTGAGCACCACAAACTGAAAATGTTATTTGATTAATTTTTATTATTCAGACTCATCCATGTCTCCATGCTTTAATTAGTTGACAAATCATTTAGCAAAAACACCTCCCTAGCATTTCTATCTGTGGCCATCTTGAGTAAGGGCAGATGATTCATGTAGCATTTACTTCCTGGAATTATCTGCCCTTAGCTCAGGCATGCAGAGAGAAGGGTGTGCTTAGCTGAGAAAGCCCCTCCTCCCCTCCCCCAGATGAAAGAAAAAACAATGCCCATGAAGACTCCTCGGATGTATGACATCATTTGTATAGGCCTGAAATCAGGAAGCAACTGAAGAAACGTAAAAAAAGTTTAAAACAAGTAAATATAATATATATTTTCCTCTGTTTTCTAAT